CTCTCTCTCTCTCTCTCTCTCTCTCTCTCTCTCTCTCTCTCTCTCTCTCTCCCCCTGTGGCAGGATCCCACTTTGACCTAGCGTGCACCATGAACCTCACAGTGGGTAGTCTCCACCCGAAGAATTTCAGGATTGTGCCTTGGTTGGAGGTGCTTTGGTCGGGAACTGAACTGCCGGTATTGAAGGAGGATTAGCGAGGAAGGTATATTATTCAGGCAGTTGAGTACCATATACTAGAGGTAAGTACCACTCATACTCAGCCACTTCGTGTGTCTTTCTGATGATGTCGTTACACGGGCGGTTAGGCGGAAGCACGTTGGGTGGCATCCTTGGTGCCTGATACGGTGCTTCAATTTAATAGCGCTGGGAGATCTACGGAGAAAAAAGAAAAAAGAAAAAAGAAAAAAGAAAAAAGAAAAAACACTAGTATAGTAGCTTTCTTGCCACCAAACAAGGCAGGGAAAGGTGAAAATGTTTAGACAACAACGTATAGGTATATTATACACTACCAGCTCAAGCTTCAGTCTGTTCTTTTTTTCACTCTCATTGGCGTTCGTTATTGCAAAAAAAAGAGAAAACAACAATCTCTCCAATGAAACAAGCATGAATAAAGAGTTTGTCTTCTTGAAAATCTCCACATGTCACATGCATTTTGTAATTGTTGTTTGCTCTTGTGAGGAGAGATGTTTTATGTGTTGCAGCGTCGAAGAAAACATCGACCCGCACAGTTGCTGTTGCAAATTTAAAGAAAAGAGAAAACATCAATCTCTCCAAAGAGGCAAGGACGGGTAAAGAGTTTGTTTTTTCATAAACCTCCGCATGTCACATGTTGCATTTTGTACTTGTTGTTTGCTCTTATGGGGAGATATGTTTTATGTGTTGCAGCCTCGTAGAAAATATTGATCTGCACGGATGGAAGGAATGTCGCACACTGACATTTTATAGTAATCTTGCAAACGGAATTTACACATTTTCCGCACGATCAAGAGATGCAGCTGGCAATGTGGACCCGACCCCATCATCAAATGTGTTCGTCATTAACAAATGGTCTGCCAAGGAAGGTTCCCTCGGCCAGCTGGGAATGGCAGAACTAGTCAGTCAACCATTGAATTTGATCTCCTGTGACAGCACCCAAGGTGAGATGACGTTTGCAGTCCCATAACCCCTCTTCACCCCCCC